GCCATGCTGGGACTGGAGTGGGGGGTAAGCAGCCCTGCAGGCTCCTGCAGGCCCCTGGTGCTCCAGCCCAGCCCCTGGCACAGGGTGGTCAGGGGGAGGGGGTGTGCTCACTGCTCTGCCAGCTGTGTCCTCTGCAGCATTGGGATAATGACTCAGGAAATGCAGAAAGAGTTTGTAAAAGTACAAAATTGACCCTGAAGAAAAATAAAATTATTTATAAAACAAAGCTTGGCTTTGACTAAGTTACACCAACAGCTGCAAGAGAGATTTACAGCAATATCACTTGAAGTACAAGGTCACAAAAATCAACAGATTTGTTATGAGTCCTGTCACTGTAGAACTGAAAACACCAAAGCTGACCTGCCTGCTTGCAGAAACCTCCCACCAGGGCTGACCTACACCCTCTTCCTGGGTTTTGGCTTTTTCAGAGCTTTGTTAACTATGAGGATGAATTTAATTCCTAAGGATCCACCTGGAGTGAAACAATTGTCACACTGAAGAAAACACCACAACTCTATTTTCCATTAGCTATGGATGCATAGAAAACAAATGCTTCTGGTTTAGATGCAAGACTTAGGACATAAAAGTACAGTCAGTTAACAGTTGCAAATAGCCATTTCTGAAAAATACAATTGAACTTTATAAAAGTATCTCAAATATACAGAAATATCAAAACTCTGTGGCCAGAAACAGAAACCTTCTGTTAGGTACTCTCTGACCTCAAGGTTTGACTGGACTACAAATGGACTGACTTTTCTTCAAGCACACATAAGTTTTGCTTAGGGCAACATCTTAAGAAGCTGAACCAAAACCAGCTCATAGACTGTGGCTTTTCATCAATTTACAAACTCATGGGCAAGAGCTATTTGTTTGCACCTCTCAAGAGAAACAATGCAAATTCTCTTTTGATGTTTAAAAGAGGAAGATGAACAAATAGGTCCAGCTCAGGCACTGTACAGTGTCTGAATCCCTGGAAAAAGCACTGCAGGGATCCTGGACAGCTGAAGCCATGGCACAAGGTGGTGGGAGCAGAAACGTTACTGGTTTGCAGAGCTACTTATTCCAAGGCTGCATAAACAAACCCATCAGTAAACAGGTTTATTATACAAAACAATGCTGCATTCATGGGTACCCTTGGAGGGAAATGCAGCCAGTGGCAGCTGGAGTAATGAGTTTGTTTCTTTAGAATTTCCTACAGTACTAACACTTGGAGGGCTCTGTTCAGACCCCTTCACCCATACCAGCATCTCTGAAGGCCAGGCAGTGGCACTGCACAAGGATTTTTTGGGGTGTTCTGGCCCAGCAAATGAAGTTGCTCTGGGGTGAGATTTTACACTCTGCTTCAGCTGCTGCTGCTGAAATTCCCAGTGCCATGACACATCTGGGCACATCTGACCAGGAGGCCCAGGACAGCCCTTTCAATTGCAATGAACTGCAGCACTGTAAAACCTCATCACTGTAAAACCTCATCACTGTAAAACCTCATCACTGGGCAACAGCTTCAAGTTATCTTAGCATGGACTGAATGTGTAACACCCTAGGAGAGAATGCAATTGCCTCCCAAGAACAGCAGTAGAGTTTTGTGCTTTCATTTCCAGCATAAATAAGCATAAAGCAACCAAAGAAATGTGTATAGTGTAACTGCCTATAAAATAAACCATTCAGGGAAAAGAAAAATCAGCCTCTGCCAGGGAAAACAACAAGTAAGTGCTCTAGAGATGAAGTACTCTGCTTTCCCATTTCCTGCACATATGGCAAGCTCTGGCTAATGCATATTCCCAGCAGATACCAGAGATAGGTGAGGAATGAAGGATGTGAAGTTCCACAATTGCTTCAGAAGTTTTCCTTTTCTGCTCCCATTCTGACCTGTCCTTCCCCTTCTGTGGAGCCTGTCTCAGCTACACTGATGCAGTTTTGAGTGGTGGGCTCACCATAAATCAACATAAAGTTCTAGAAGCCTTCAAAGAAGGCCATGGGGAAGGAGGGAATAATTGTAAGTTTTGGGCCTGTCACTGCAGGAACCACACTGAGGCTCTGGAGCACATCCAAAGCAAAGCATTAGAGCTGGGGAAGGGTCTGGAGCACACATCTAAGGAATGGCTGAGGCTTTAGCCTGGGGAAAAGGAGGCTCAGGGTGGACCTTGTCACTCTGCAACTGCCTGAAAGGAGGATGGGGGTCAGCCTCTTGTCCAGGAAATAAGCAACATGACAAGAGGAAACAGATTGAGTGGCACCAGGAAACGTTTAAATTGGACTTTAGGAAAAATTTCTTCACCAGAAGGATTATCAAGCCTTGAACAGGCTGCAGTGGACTCACCAACCCTGGAGGGGTTTAAAAGATGTGTAGGTGTGGCACCTGGGGATAAGGGTTAGTGATGGGCTCAGCAGTGCTGGGTTAATGCTTGGTTTGATGAACTCACAGGTTTTCTCCAACCTAAATGATTCTGTTCTAACTCAAACACCTCTCACTGCTACTGCACAACAACAAAGAAGCAACAGCTTGTATTCAAAAGGTGAAGGTTGCACTGCCTGCCTTCCCACCTGACTCCAGCTGCACCATTTCATTCCTTCACTGCAACTCCAGTACTTCTAAAATCCTTACTGAGTGCAGTAGTTGGTTACCTCTCTACTTTCTTGCCTTGTTCAGTGAGACATTTTCTCAGCTTAAATTGGTACAAAAGATTCAACAAGCTCCAGAATGTGCCCACACAAGGTTTAGAAGGACAGTCCAAGGGCCCCACTGGCTCTGATGAGCAGCTCCATCAGCAAACCCCATGTGGTGAAATTACACCTCAAATTTCTGTGTGACTCAAAACAACTGGAGCAGCAGAAGAGGGAGAAGCACAGGTGGGCCCAGGGAGGGTGGGCCCAGGGAGGGAGAGCAGGGGCAACCATTCCCAGCAGCTCTGCACCACGAATCCCTTTCCACTCCCAGGGATGGCCATGTCAGCTCTGCTCACATTCCTGCTACTGAATTTTAAGTCAGCCAGAAGAGCTTGCAAATTCTGCTTTCCAAGCACAGAGCCTGCACTCAGACACCTGAGCTCATTTAAATGCTCCTGCAGTTTTAATTGACCAGAGGCAGTCGATGGTGGCAAACAGCAGCTGCTTTGTACTTGTTTGGAATGCCCTGAAGCAGATGATTACAGATAGAAAATGCTACAGTTTAAAAAAGGAAAAAAGAAAAGGCTCCTACTTAGAGAAGTGATTCCAGTAACTACAATATCCTGACAGGAAAAAAAAAAAGGGAAAATGCTAAAAAAAAGGCAATTAAAAAAACAAAACCAAAACCCCCAGAAACCATAAGTTAAGCAAATAAAGCAAATAACAATGCTAAGTAGTATTTGCAAAATTTGTTTAAGGTCCTTCTATTGTAATACTAACACCAGCTGTATATGCCTGAGGGATAGTTTAGGTACATGCTGCATGTTCTCAAGTTGTGAGCATACAGTATATTTTTATATACACACACACACACACATACAGCAAGGCATGGAAGAATGCCAGAAACCAATTTGTAAATCAGAATATGGGAGAATGTACTTCTGATTGAGGTGTAATTTTTTAATCATATGGAGTAAAAATATTTGAAGTAGCCACTTGTTCCCTCATAAAAGAAAATTTTTTCTTTTTTAAAAAAATAAAAAGTCAACTTACTTTTGCTTCCTGAGGTATAAACATCTGTACCTTAACTTCAGCACATACCTTCAGGTGATCCAGCTGGAGGAGGTATGATGGTTTTGGTTTATCTTACAAATCACAGCTTTGACAACACAATTAATCTATACATTTCCCCCAAACTTCTGTACAAGAAAGATCTGCAGCCCTGAAACAAAACAGTCTGCATAATGGACTCACAATTCTGGAAGAACATACTCAGGATCTTCTTTCTGCCCAATGATTTCTCCTCCTGCAAAATCTGAGCAGGTACACACAGTTGACCATTCTGCCCATCCTGTTCTCCAAAAGACATTGATGGGTCAGCTACTAAACTGGAACATGCCCTTTGCAGTAGAGGCCTGCACTGATTTGACATTCCTTTTATACCTGTATTTTAAAATCAATACACATGATACAGCAGAGCTGTAGGGAGAGAACAGTTTCATTTGGTTTCTTCACCAACCAATCTGGTCAGTGAAGATCAGCACAGACAAAGCAGGAATGTTTCAAAAGCTACTAAGTATAATAAAAAAACCCCTGATATTTACATTGGACTTGGTATCTCCACTCCTTCTCCAGTATAAGGTAAGTGAACAAAACCCATTTTGTTCAGGACAGAACAGTGGATGCAATATCTTATCATGGCCTGTACATAACATGGTCTTTTGAAATTATTTCAACATTCTTTTTTTCCCCTTACCAAAATAAAAGCATCTCCAAAGCATCATGATGGGACTTCACTAGATAGGTACTTATCCATTGCAGCTTAGAAATTAAGTAGTTGATTAATTTTTTTAATGATTATTGTTCCCCAACATTTTCAACCAGCTTTAAGAAAATACAGTAGAACCTCACTGTTTTGCACTTCTGATTGGAAGATTAGGTGTGCATGATTTCCTGTGCCCATTTTGGAACATTCAAGCTTTAAGAGTTAAGCCAGGTGATGCAGTTCAGCATGTTGGTTCACATCAGTGGAGTGCTACAATTCAGCATTATTTCCTGTCCTAGAAGTGCACAATTCTTTAATGGAAAATGACTCAAAACGAGGTAGCACTGCCACTCTCTCTGCTGGAATGTGGACAGGTCCTGGCCTAATTTTAAATGGTGGCTTAGCAAGATTCTACTGTAATCTATACAAAATGTATAAAACATGAACCTTCCCCAAAATAAGGCCACTAATTTTGCCATTGACAATAGGCAGTGAGAAACAGCAGGTAAAAAAACCTCACTTCATTACAGAGGTGTTTTTGAGGCAAAAAACTGTGGGAAGAAGTATAAAGACACTGTCCTCTCATCCCCCCCTCTTTGTTTTCCAGTATATCTCTGCTTCCTGTAGAATTTCAGTCTATTTTCTTAGCTGGGAGTCCAAGCAAGTCCATGCTCCATTTGAGGGTGGGAACAGCACTGTGAAACAACAGGATTATGAGCTTCCCATGAGTCATGGTCATGACAGTCTGATGTCCAGATGCCCAGATTCGGTACCAGGGCCCATAAAAAGGATCTGAGATGGCTGGGCACAACATGTTGTTCAAATTCACTTCTGTAAGCTGAGGAAGCAACAATAAATTTATCGATTAACAATATTTTTATCTTGCATTGATTAGCCTAAAAACAGTGAAAATTTAGAAAATTACCAAAATAATCAAAAATGTTCAGATGACACATCTTTGCTCAACACAAGCAGGGCAGCTTTCAGAAAAAAAGCAGATCCAAATTTCATTGTGTATTTAATAAATGGATTTTGGCAGGTACATAACCAAGCTATGAACTATTTTATCAGTACTTGCAAGAGATAAGATACAAATGCTCATTAGAACATGCAATTTGCATACAAGTAGCCTTATCAAAAAATTTGCATGCAAGTAGTCTTATCTACGTGGACCTGCACACTTAAACTACTCAGTGTTTTTACTCTGAGTGTACTTGCAGACTACCCATTTATTAACCTGGCTTTACTTACCAGGCCCAGGATCTGCAGGATGCTAAAATGATACACAAACATAAAGCCCGTGGATAAAAGAGCCCACCAGAAATTGCAGAGCGGCTCAGGGGTGTAGATACCTTGAAAAGAAAGGAATACATGAATGTTCAGCTGTGCCCACCACGCTCTCAATGAATAATCCTCTCTCTCCTGCATGGCAGGACATCTGGCTTGAGCTGATAACCTCCTCAATACCATTAGAGTAATTAATACTGAGAGCTTTATTTCTTACCTGAAGCATCCTGATCAGCTTCTTCCCTCCTCCTTGGCCAGCAGTGAGATGTACAACATGTTACCTCACTAAATCTATTTTTCACCAACATCAATGATTTTTACTTCATTCTTCCTTCTACCACAGAAGTAATAAATGCAATAATGGTGTACAATAAATCTTCTAAAAAAGCAGGTTATTTATACTTAAAACACCTGCTTCATGCAGGGATTATGATTTCAGCATGCACAGACCTGACTTAGGCAGCAGCAGGTCCTGCACAGGCTTTATTAGAGCACAGCTTAATTGTCATTTCCTAATTTTATGGTTAACAGCTATTAAAAAGGAACTTGCATCAATAGTGCCAAGGAACAGAAAACCTGATCAGGTGGTCAATCCATTAATGACAGGTGGTGCTTTTAAATGAAAGCTGCTGTGGGGATATTTTCAGATATACACTACAGTTTTATATTCAGCAGATATCACAGATACTGTAAAATACTTTTTCCCTTCAAATGAAGTAGCAGATATATTATTCCAACCTTTCTCTATTATTCCAACCCTCTCAAAACCAGGCTTTACTGACAAAACACAATGTTCCCTGATCTAGAATGTACCAAGGGAATCAGATTTAATAAAAGTACTCATAGATACAAGACTATCTTGGGAATGAAATATTCAAATTTCATTTGGTAAGAACAAAACCAGTTTACAGAGTTCTCTAGACTCTTACTAGCAGACATGAAAATTGCACTGTAAGATATGTGGGAAAATATCATTTTCCTTATGACTTTAATAACAGCCTCAGAACACGAAGGAAAGATGCACAATGTCATGCTGTTTGGCTGCTGTAAGAGTTTCAGAGGATTATAAAAATACACTGGCAATTTTTATCTGCCTTTATCTGCTCTCTGATCCATTAGATATTATTAAATACTGGAACATGTATCCAGTACTCAAAGGACAGCTTAGAGCACAGAGTGCAATATTGATACTGGCCTTGGCTGGCCAGCACACTCAGTAATTACCAGGAAGCAATGAAACACTTCAGCATACACTGCACAAGGCTACTGGGAACTTAAATAACTCCACATGCACAGCAGCTACCACAGCACCCAGCAGACAACAGCTGCTATGAAATCTTTGTTTATTTCCATTGTGTTTATATTGATGGAGATATATTAGAATTATTATTATAATATATATTTTTTTCTATATAATATATAATATACATTATAATTACATTATACAAAATACATTATACATTATTTTCTATGATATACATTATAATAGAATATATATTATATTATATATATGTATCTCCATAATATTTATCTCCATCACCCTGTGGAGATAAATACAAGTAACTGCTGTGACCACATCACTGTTTAATGCTGCATCCCAGCTCAGGGTAAGGTCTCTAGAGCAATGCTTCCTCAAGCTCTGTGGCCCTTTCAAAATTATTTTCTGTATAGTTTCCCTCTGTAATTTGTACCCATCATGCCAGTTCACATTGATTTTGCAGTAGCTACCTGAAATAAGTTCAATTAAATAGCATTTTGTGAGTGCTACAGATTCAAAATCACCTACAAGCTGTTGTCTAAAACAGCACATCCACTCCCAAGAACACAAGGGTCAGTGAGCAGGCAGGGACTTGGGGAGCCCATGATACATTTGGGCACAGGAACTACTTGGAAAGCACAGGGCAGCTTGGAAGGTTTCTTAGACAGTGGGAAGGTGAAGGCCAGAAGTGTCTGAACAGCAAGTAAAACCAAAGGGAAAAGAGAACTCTACAGGAATCACTTTGAGTTCTGCAGGTAAAGGGAAAAATTTCCCAGCAGTAATTCTTGGGATGCACTTGGCAAGTGTGAGCTGAGAGCTGGCATCCTATTTAGGAAACAGTACAGAATCTTAGACAGCAATGATATTCATTAAACTCCATGGCCTGAAACCATCAGATAGGTGACACCACCTTGAATATGGTTTTTCATTACAGAGAGAAGAGGAGCAGGAGGAATGAGCCTTGGTGTCAGAGTGCAGGAGATCATGGCTCTATTTTTGGCTGCACCAACTTTAGGTGACCTGGTCAAGCTTTACAGAAACTCTTTGTACTCCCTCCACTGCTGTAAAGAAAACACTGCTTGACTTGCAAAATTTATTTATATTGTCCTTGCAGTTTTAGGTGCATGTTTAACCTAGATACAAAACACAACATGAAATTTAAATAAGGTATCAAAGCAGCTCCCAGGAACTGGCTGAGCTGTGCTAAACCAAATTAGGTTTCTGTTGGCAGTTGCCTGTGTTATTTCAAAAGGATTTGACAAAGCCTGGTGAATCTAAAGGGATGAGCACCCAGGAAAGCTAAAATACAGACATCTCCACATCCAGGTGACTTACAGGGCAGATAGGGTATAAATACCAATACAGGCAAGTGACCCCAGCTATAAAATGAGACTGGAGGGAGACAGCAGTCATTAGAAGACAAGGAAATTGCACAAGATGACAACACAGATCCATGGCACAATTTGGCTTTGAACCCAGGCTTCTCATGTCCAGCTTCAGTCTAATCAGGGAATGGTATTTCAGAGGTGCCTTAGCAGAGCTGTTCAGGTTCCCCCAACAAGGAATTTCCCTCCCTCTGCTGCATCCTTGCTCTGTTGCAAAATTTAAAAAAAAAATACATCAGCAACTTTTGCTCTCGATAGATTTTTGGTCTTGCTTCCTACTAAAAATATCCCTCCTTATTAGACTTTGGAATCCTGAAAATAATGGTGTGATTTTCAGCAGTGGCACTATTTGGACATCAAAGGACAAAAAGGAAACACTGACCTCCACACAAAAACATTTTGTAGCACTCTAGATTCCACAGTGTGCTTTGGGAAACTAATTTTAAATTCATACCTGGGATATTTTCTGTACATTTCTCTTTATATAAATACCCACTATAGATTTTATTACTCTACAGCCCTGCTATTCAACGGATTGCTGTTTAATGAAGCAGTGTGGTCTATTTTCCATAGTACATTCTGTTAAAAGAAAAACACAAACAGGAAAATTGAGAGCCAGCTGAGTGGCTGTTTGAAGGGCCTCTGTTGGCTTTGGCAAAAGCTACTTGCTGCTTGCATAGGAAATCAATTTCAATGGGTGGGAGCAGAGAGTTTCACTCTCTGTTTATGAAGGATCATGGGCAGTTCTCATACATTAAGCACTTACAGAAATGTAGTCCAAGTGCCAGTCTGGCACTGATCTCATTCTCAAAAACACTCACTCCCCAGACAGCTGAGACCATTCCCAGCTGGGGCCATCCAGGTAGGCTGCATGTTTGCTCCTGTGTTGAAATTCAAATCAGTTTAAATCACACTTCATTACTTCAGTAGCATTGACACAAAGGATTCCATATAGACGGAAGAGTTTGGGGTTCTTCATCTGCTTCTAAATAAGACTTTGTTGACATTGAATATGCCAAATTGATCATTTTGCCATCTAGGAAATGGAAGCATGGCTTTAAAAAACTAAAGATCCACAAAGAGATGGCATTTTTTATACTGTTCCCTGCCCACAATGTGCTAGTTCAAATGTTCTTCTGAACTATTATTTTTATCTAAAATTCTCAATACACGGGCTTCTGAAAATCTGAACACAACTTAATAGAAAGCAATACTCCTTTTGTGTGTCTGTGAAAACATAATTCAGGAGAAAATTACTCCTCTGTTTGAATTAGAGAATTAGAATCTAAATATAGCACCAATTTTTAATTTAGTAGGGTTTAAAATAATCTCTTTAATGTCTTGCTTTCATTCCCACTACATTTGATAGAGCTTTATGAGTTTTCCAGTGCTGCACACTCTCTTTCAGTTGTCTTACAATTATAAGTAGACCTGCTTAATCCAAAACTCAGAGCAACTATTACAATTCTTTCATTTTCAAGCTTACAAAAATAAGCGGGCAAATTTATTTTCCTTTTATTTCCCTTGATCAGAGGGTTAATTCCAGTTGAGTGGCCTATTGAGCTAGCCTGGAGATAAAACTTCCTTTCCAGGGGAAAACAGGAAAAAAAATGTTTTCAAGAGGTTGATTCTGAAATCCCTTTTTCCCCTATAGCTGTTCTGACTCCATGTGTAGGTTTCAAACTAGTGCCTTATGCCAGGAGGTTTCTGTTTCCCCTCAGTGCCAGCTACTCTCATCAAGAACCAGCTCAGACAGAGCCCTTACAGTACCTGCTTCTCTCAGGAATCATTTTTTATATTCCATAAAGCAGCAGCAGTAGCTCTTCCTCTACCTTCATATAGTAGCAGTTCTTCCAGATACTGGCACCTGCCCTTCTGAATTTCTCCATCTCCTGGAGAGATATTTCATTTTTCAAACTGTAACTGCCCAGTGCCTAAAGCTCAGAGGGTCACAGGACAGGGACACATCTCCTCCTCTTCTACTTCATCTCTCTTAAATCATCAAACAAGATTATCCTCGAATATTCAAGCTACAGGAGAGGCCGCAGCCAGAGTAACAGCACACAAGGTGCCATGGCACAAGCACAGCTCAACAGCAAACCACACATTTATGTCTAATACAGGGCATTCAGCAGGTAGAGAAACCTGGAATAGAATATATGGAATTGCTAGAAGCAGAGTAGGGAAACAACATGCAAGAGTCAATAGGCCTCTAGGTAAGTCAGTTTCAGCAAAAGAGCTGTATCACACATTAGCAAGTATTTCAATGAAGATTGAGATGGACTAGATTTCTGACTGCCTAAGTATATCTAAATATGAAGTGATATTTCTCCTGGATTACTACTAAAGGTATATAATAAAGCCTGCTTGATAACTCCTTCAGAAAGCGAAGGAAAGAATTAGCTAAAGGCAGGGAAGTGCCACAAAATGTAAAAGTGACTGACAGAGGGTGCAACAGTTAAAAAAAGGTCTTTAAATATGGTCCTACCAGCCAATGGAAAACACAACTTGAGTGTTTTAATTGCACTTTCTTAACTTACAACTAAACGAAAAATGATCCTTTCATGTGTACTTGGTATCTGTGTGCTGCATCTCCCAAGCCCAGGCTGTGCTGAGGTCAGGAGCGCTCCCTGCTCTGAGGGAGCTGCCGAGCACAACAGAGGCATCCTCCATGAGAAGGGAGAAAAGGAAAATAAAATCAACAGCTTCAGCTGACTGTGTGACAATGCCACAGAGCTTCTCTTCTGATGCCACCTTTGAGAACAGATCAACAAAGAAAAGGGCTTTGGGACTTGAGTCAGACACTGGCTCTTCTCTGCTTATACAGATACAGCACTTGCCTGAGAAGAAAATTCTGCTTCTATTGCCAGCAAACAATTCATTTATTTAGCGGCAAATCGGCCCTTCAGACACACGGGGGCAGCGCACACAGCTGCCCGGCCCTCGCCAGGCCCGGCCCGGCCCGGCCCGGCTCACCGAGGGCATTTCCTGCAGCCCGCGCCCGGAGCTGCTGCCCTCCCTCACGGCGCCGGGCCCAGCGCCGCCTGCCGGCCATGCTGCGCAGCACAGCGCAGGGCAGTGCAGGGCAGCGCAGCGCAGGGCAGCGCAGGGCAGCGCAGGGCAGCGCAGGGCAGCCCGCTGACACCAGCGCCGGGCCCAGCGCCGGGCCTGCCCGCAGCTGCGGGACTGACCTGCGGGACAGACCGGCCCGACAGACCTCCCCGCAGCTGCGGGACTGACCGCCCCGACAGACCGGCCTGGAGCTGCGGGACTGACCTGCAGGACAGACCAGCCTGGAGCTGCAGGACAGATCTCCTGCCCGACAGCCTCTCAGCGTGGCTCCCTGCAGGCACAGAATCCCAAACACCTCAAGGCCAACAGCCTCTTCCTACCTACTGAAATAAATAACACTGGGGATATCAAAACACAGGGCAGATTATCTCCTCAACTCTAGGGAGCTGCTACAAATTCACTCTTATTTCAATCTGTTGTGGACTGATGTAATTTAGAATATCATTTGATCACTGCACTAAGGAAATAACAATTCCGCCTTGATTAACTTTCAATATGATTTGATGTTCTGAAATAAGGTGCACACCTGACTTTGTCAAATCCATAGCAAAACCTAACCAAACAAGCTTAAGACAGTCAGAAACAAGAGTCATCATCACCAATCTCTAAACCTGATGTAGTGCAAACTCGATTTTTTTTCATTATCTTAATACACTGTTTAAGAATTTAGCTGTCCTGATTCCACTGAAGGTCTCTGAGAGTCTTACTTCTTAAGGACAAAAGAAAACAGTGACCTGCAAGGTCTGGTTTAACTCCTCCAGCAGTTTCTGGAATGCTCTGTCCTGCTCAGGTGCATACTGCAATTTTGGGAGGCAGGTGACACAAGGTGAGATTCATCCAGTAAAATACAAGTGCCAACTGCAGATACACTTTATGTAAGAATTGACTTGAGGTAGGAATCCTGTGTGCTGGCTTTTTACATCCACACTACATCTATTTTGCATGAGAGCCTCTTAGTGCTGCCAAGAAAGATGAGCCATGGTGTAAAAGCATTTAATTTGTCTAGCCTGGTATACATGCATAAATGCACTTAGAAAGAAAATATGTTAAGAAAGGGAAGTATGGAAATTTATATTCACTCAGTACAGAGAGGAGTGAGAGGGAAGAGGAGATTTTAATCCCCAAAAGGGATCCATGTCCTTGAGCTCCAGTGAGTTCACTGTGCAACACTGAATGCTGAGTTCCAAACTCCTCTGTCATCCATGTGCTGCTGAGTGTGGCAAAGCCCCCCTCTTACAGGGTCAGGAAGGACATGAAGGTTGCCAGTGCAGCATGACCAGTGCACCACTGTAATAAGTAGCAGGAAAAGACAGGAAATAAATTATTACAGCCCTTGCTTACTGTCACCAGTTTCCTTTCAAAGAGGAAACACTTCAGCAGGCAGTTGGATGCATGTGCATGGCTGGTGCAATACCTGATTAGGGTATTGCAAGCAAACTTGAGGGTGCAGTTCTCTATTAGCCTGAGCCTCAAATCCACTCTGCTTCAGGTGTTCTGCTCACCCTATCTTTGAGAAACATTTGGGTCCTATCAAGGTCACCAGTAATATAGGCAGATTCCCAATAAAACTGTAGTAGTATATTTTTCCAAATGCAATCCATTCCTTTTCATTTTTTTCCATTTGCTACCCTTTGATTACTTCTCTCAACCATAATCCACAGATTCACTGATGGAAATTTCTATTTACAGTACTGAAATCAAGCTGCATGCTGATCAGTGTCAGTGATGAAAAAGCAATTTTCACAAGATACTGAACTCAGGACAAAGGCCTGTGTGACCTACTCAGAAGGTACTTAAACAGAGGTTCTAGTGAAATGATAAAATTAATATAAACAAATATTTTTAGGCTGCATAATTTTTCCACCAAAAATGATCCATTATGTCACCTGTGGCAGGAGTCCATGGGTGTTTTGTTAATTAAGCCAGTCAGGTGATGAGGAGCCAAGTGCATAAGAAATGGAGCAGTTATGAGTTAAACAGCCCAGAGCAATCTCAATTGACAGGTTCAGCCAACAAAGTTTTCAGCAATTTTGCTGCCATCACATGAACATTAGATGGCAGCAAATACCTGTACATAAACACAGGGCAGGCGTTCAGAATACTGAGCCAGGGTGACAACTGTCCAACATCAAACCCTTCAAACTGCAAACCCAGTTCTGGTCAGTCCCAGGTCCTGAAGAACCCTGAGAAACTCTGCCTCAAAAAAAGGAAAAAGCCAAACCAAACACCACAAGTGTTCTTAAAAGAACACATCAAGCATCATCCAAGGCCAAGCTTTTTTAAAGCAGACTGTCTTAAAGTGACCTCAGATGGGAACTCCAAGGCCACCAAGTGATTTATTGGCATCACAAGAGCTTTGTCACTACCTGCAGTTCATTCCATGGCTGCTTGCGTTTTCTGCCCCCTGCTCCTCACCCTCCTCCTGCAAAGATTATGAGTTTGTGTAACTCCTACAACTACCCTGCACTTTGGCATTATTTGCTAGAATTTTAGCCTATCAAGGGTGGATTAAAATTAAAACATGGCTGGCATATTTCCCTGATAAAAGAAAGAAACAGAATCATCTTTTTAAGTACAAGACTTCACTTTTCCTTTGAATAGTTTTTCTTAATTTCACTCAGCAGGTCACAGTGCAATCAGGTCACTGCAACACAAAGGTTACAGTGAAAGAGGGTAAAGGACTGTAAGTGACCATGGGTATAAAACACAATTGATTCAGCAGGATGGAAGAGCCTGACTGCATCCCATTGCTTGACATCAATCCTCAGGGCTTTCATTAAAGGCTACTGAACATGTGGATCACAGATGATCATATTTTATTTCCTGCATGGAACAACCCAGCTCTGGTAGAAAATGCAGCTAGAGGCATGTCAGCACTAGAGGGGGGCAGAGCAGCACACCAGCTGAGTGCATTCCCTTGGAGGATCCTCAACTGGAAAAATCACTGGCCAGGGAAACAATTTAGGATTCCCAGACTTGCTGAGCTATTATGGCATAAGTGAATGCAAGACAGCAATATTGTTAGAAGAGATAAGCAATCTAGTTCATTTCTGTGATACATGTCACTACCTTCCACTGGAGCTTCAGAATTTCTGGGATTTATCTAGCTAGACAACTAATTTTAATTTTTTTGGCTCATTTTGAGTTCCAGTACTTCTCAAGAGACATCCAAGAAGGTAAAAATCTTAAAAATACGTCCCACCAACAACTGAGAATATTGCAAGATGGCAGAGATGCTGCTCAAGAAGACAATGCACGTTGTACAAATACATTCTAAATATTCCTTCAGGCAAAAGACCATTTTTTAAATTTTTTGTTTAGTGCCTGACACAACTCATTACCTGGGTTAAAACTCCAACATTAGAACACTAGAACATCAGGAACTATTAATTAAAAACAGAGAAAATTGGTTTTAAAAGGGTAAGAATAAAACTGGTGGTATCCAGTAAGCAGTGTTTTCATTTCATAGGACCAGCTCAATCCATAGGGAGTAAACTGCCTACCTACCTCCTTTGTGCAGCAGATAGATGGGCACAACATAAAGCATCACATGCTGGATGTAATAAATCTCTGTTTCAAATGGAAGCTGTGGAATAAGGAAAATATTTGTAAGTATTTTTCATCATTAACAAGCAAGTTCCAAGGAACAATTCTCTTTCTAACCCATGACAATGCTTTCAGTTCAGTTATTTTATCACCTATGTATAATAACAAACATTAACAGTCAGTGCCTTGAAAGTGCAGCTGACTGTACCCATTCATCCCCCTTAACACAAACACAGCACTTCCAGTAGGTAATTCCCCAAATTAGCCAGAAGCACAACAAAGGAGGAGTAACATAAGGTTGCTCTTTCCCTTTCTTTGCTAGCAAGAATTACCAATAACAATGCAAGCCACTTAAATAATTAAATCAGAAATTATGCACACTCCCACAGCATAGAAGTCTTTTTAGAAAGAAAAGATACTTGCCACCTTGTGAGACGTCATAAATGAGGTCTTTTATATATAAAAGTATATATATATAAAGTAATATAAGAGGAGGCCTGTGCAAAAAAATCAAAAGACCTGATTTATAGCAACCTGCATGCATGTACAGAACTGCTAAGCTTGATCAAATATAAATTAAAATATAAAATGACCAGTCATTTATTGGTTTTAAAGACAAGCTGCAGAATTATGTGTAAGCAAGTTACCAGTTAATAGTGAATCAGGTATTTCTCACCTGCTGCCAACTTTTGGGAAATTACAATTAGTCCTTTGTGTGTTTATTTGAATTAGTGTAACTTCTCTTCTAAGAAGTCAGACACCTAAAATAATACTAAAAATAACTTCAACCATATCTGTGTTTGAGCCTCCTAATCCAGAGCCAACTATTTCTAGCTCTTTATCACTTAGAAAAGGAGATGCACTGTATTTGAAAGTTACTCCCATCTATAAGTAACTTAGCCTACATCTATTTATTACACTAAAGCAGCACATTTAAAACTGAACAGAACTGAACAGTAGTAGAAAACACTCAAAAATTCAGAATTCAGCTTTTTACTGCATCTGACTTACAGAGCTGAAAAGCCACACTGCTGCGTTATTTTTCTGAATTGAAAATTGGACAATATCACAAGTATGAAATCTCATGGGAATAATGAAAAACCTTGGTTCAAATGCAGACTCATTCTGTCATTTTCCAGCCAGAAGAATTCAGACATGGGACCTACCACTGTGGCTTGTGTGTTGGGAAGCAGGGAGTGGGGAGAAAAGCCTTCCTTTTCTATGACTCTTCTGAGACACTGAAGTCACAGCCTTGAAACTGAAACATTACAGAAATTTCTACATCAACAGAAGAGAGGTTGAAAGAGAGTTTGATTTTCTTCCTAACCAGTAGTCAAACAGTTGGTAAATAACACAGTAATCTTTTAAATTCAACTACAATTCTTATATCCTATTTTGAACATAGAAGGTTCTAAAACCAACAACTGGATTTTGCTAGTCCTGGCATTCACCCACTGGACACTGTGTGTGTCCTGATGACAACCTCCAAGGTGGTCAGCCAGCTCCTGTAGGGACTAAGCTAAACCAACTCTCCCATACAATCTGTTGGGTTATTTCATTCCAGGTATTCTGTACCAAAACAAACACAAACAAGGTAACTATGCAAAAGCAAGAACTTCATGAAAATTGTGAGGTTTCCTAAATCTGAACCTTTCCTACTATCCTTCATTGGAAAAGACAGAGAGCAAATTGAGGGAATTAAAATTATTTGAGATGAGGCTAAAGCAGTGATTCTAACTGGAGAAAAAACTGTACCTCTCCCACTTCAGAAACAATTGCTCCTGATATAAGCACCACAACATGAGGCACTCACTCCTGCCAAGGAGCATTCTCCATTTATCTGTGGTGTCAAAAGGGCTTCCACAGCCGTGAAGCTGTGAGGATCTGCTACACAAACACTGTGCTGGGACACTCCTGAGAACAGAGTAACAGTTGTTATGCTGCAGTAGTGTTGACAGTATTTTTTTGTGTCTAAAACAAAACATCTTTTTCCCACTGTAAAAGACAGCTTGTTCTGAAGCCTGGCTGATTCTGCAAGTGCATTTCCTGCTGTAGAGCTGCAGAGCTGCTGTACAACCAAGCACTCAAGCTGTCCAGCCAGGCTGCAACAAACACAAAAAGCAAGCTGTACTGAGCAACTCACTCACCTGCATCTCATGCCTTGTCTATAAACAGTTTTATCAATAAAAGACTCACTCAGCATAAGCACCTCTCACATGTGAGGAGAAACTGGAAATGAAGACAAGGCACAAGGGCTCGCCCATCAATCAAGGATTTCAAGACTCTCTTTGTGAAAACAAGTAAGACTTCATGTTCTAACTTAAACTAGCTACTACCCAAATAGTAGTAGTATTAAATTAATAGTAGCTTATATTGTTCCAAAGGGAACAATGAGATCTTTCCATGCACTGAACTCAGCTTTAGAAAAATCTCTTCAAGGCAGCAGTAGAGTGGAGCTCAGAAGTCAGATATTTTGAGTTCACCCCAAGAGAGTATGGACATAATACTAATTTAGATTAAACACTCAGACACAGCAGCTGGTTTTCAGTAGGCTCACAGGCTGACACTTTGCTCTGGTTTCTGACAGTAGCACTCCACTCTCTGTTAATTATTTATACCCTGGCTCAAGCACTGCACTGTGCAAGAGCACCTCCTCCATCATTCTCCACAAAGACTGCAGAGTGGGCCTGAAAAGGAATAGAAGGGACTCAACTCTCAGATTCTGGTCTTTCCTGCAGGACACCTAGAACAGCCTAATAAACAAACTGTACTGTACCAGCCACCTTCTTAGACATTATCAGTAAATGACACACTCATCCCATTTTGATGCACCCAGCATGTACACGTCACCAAATATACACAAACCTTGGCTTTATCACCTACCAGCCACCATCTCTGAACAGCCTCCCACTGCTGCTGTTGTTTTCCCTGTGCCAGTTAGATTAGGCCAGTCTAGAGATGAGAATGTGCTACCAAACCTATTCCATTCTGCTGTGCAGGCACAGCCATTACAGACCAACTATTGAGTGCAGTGAATTATTTCTCTAACAATACAGCAGCCAGTGATTGGAGCATACAAGGAATGCACTCAAAGTCCTGCTCAGAGTATGATTCTACTCCTAACACAGGTTTAGAATGTGGATCTCTCAGGCCAAATAGTTCTAATAATAGAATACAGCAGCTTCTGGAAACATTAAAACTGCACCAGCTCAGCCATGTGAACTGATACCCATGTATCCAACACTTTTGGGACATGTCCTCTTTTTTACTTTATCTATATGAACATTTTCAGGACATCAGCTTGCAAAAAATCCCCACTTTTAAACCAGTGGAAAAATTTTTCTTTTAAATTTGATTAATGCAACATGAAAGCTCCAGCAAACCCAGTTACTTTCCACACAGTTGGAGTCTTTGTGGCAGTTAAATGAATTTACATGCACAGCCAGGTTATCAGGACCTACACTGTGTGCCACAGAATATAAATACAGAGTAAAAAGAAATCTTTCTACTCCTGTATATCCTCTTATACCTTGCTGGATCCCTCTTGGGAGCTTAACAAGCCAATTCCCTCAGCATCATCTTCTCCTTTGTCTCTGAAAGGGTAAGAAGAACTCACAAAAGCACTGACTGGACAAGAAACAGTTTTATCTTTTTATCCAATGTCTATCCCAAAGCACAGAGTTTAATTTCATCAGCACATGGCAAATAATGTAGCAAATAACTGCAATATTTGGGTGCCAAACAAATACAAGTGGGTGCATCTGTTGCTTAAGTCTGTTAATGTTGGCACCTCAACCTCATGCCAAGGCAGGAAAATATTTTCTTGGAAAGAACAGAATAGACTGACCTCACCTTTCAGGCTACATTTTTTGAACACCATCCCAGGTGCCTGTTAGATTTTTAACTGCATTGTTTAGCAGAGTCTGACTGAAAGATTGAAATAACAGAAGGTAGAAACTTTCTACTGTAGTTTCAGTGAATATGTCAACTCTCCATTTTCACTGGCAATACACTACTATTTTAAAAGAATTTTGAAATTACTGAGGTTCTAAAAAAACAACAACAAAAATTAAGAGATACATCATTATAAGAAAATGGAAAACCTGAAATTATGCCAGAAGCTCCCACTTCAGGATAACTTAACAATGAAGCATATTTACAAAAAGACATTTGCATTTCATTAAGTAATGTAATTGCTAGCAAAAACACATGACCCTAACAGACTCTGCCACAAAATGTAAGAGGTGTTCTGGAAATTACTTTGAACAAATTAACACTTACAACCCAAATCCTCATACCCACTAAAACATCCATCATCTGCTGAAGCAATGATTGTCTCTCATTCTGAATCACTGAATCAAAAGTTTTTCACTTAGGTATTAAAAAACCAGAGCAGCCAGCTTAGAAAAAAATTGAGGTTTTTTATTTTTTAATTCCTACTAGGTTTTAGGAGACATTTCCTGTTTTGGGACAATGTTGGTGTTAAAACCACAGTGAGTTGTGGAACAGAATGTGTGTCTGCCATGAGAGAGTCTGGATCAAGGCAGTGCTGTACAACATCACCCACATATCCTGTGCCAGAAGAAACATGGAAAAGTGAAAAGCCTGGCAAGCAGCTGTTAGGCCAAAAATATCTTAAGTTGTAATTATTCCAACAATATTTACTTTTGGACAGTATCTTTTGGCCACTCTGCTCCAAATTACAGGAACAATTTTATAAGTAGTCTGTATCTTTCTTGTTAAATCACCACTGCCCTAATATAAATGAGATCTGTGATAATGGTGGAGAAAATACAAGCTGATAATTTATTAAATACTTCAACATTTTTTCTTTCAAAGGTTACCCAAACCAATTTTGTCATGCCTAAGATTATATATACTTAAAAACTAGATGGCTTTAAATATAAAATAAGAGTTTTCCTTATCTGGAAAAGAACATTTGTTTTATTAATTTGTTGCCTCTTCAACGGTACCAAGTTTTAATAAAATGTAATTGCAAACCACACATAAGCATAAGTTTATACTTCATCTTATTTAGACAGTCAAGACTTGCAAGTGGAGATCCACCAATAAAATCTGAAATGGAGTCTGAAGCCCACAACCCTTTTGTTAATAATATTAATTCACCCTCTATTATGGATGTAGTTTGCTTAAATATAAAGTACTCATATCTGTCTTAAAACAGACATTAAAATAGCTGCAACAACAAATTTTTGCAGATAAATCTTACGAAAAAAATTAAAAGCATCTAGTCATATATACATATACACCCCCTCTACATATGCATGGAAAACAGCTCTTAAAATAATCCTCAAAACTACTTCATTCAACTCACACTCAAAATAGCTTTTTTTACCTTTAAATCTCAATGGGTTTAAGAATCTCACTAGGAACATCAATAGGCTATTTTTTTTTTGTCCAGGAGACTGAAGGTTTACAGCAGATTGTGTGGGAAAAAAAAAAATCTGCTGTGCCTAATCTTGGGGGAGAGGGAATGACAGCCAACAACAACATTTGGCATTTTCCAGGCCTGAGGAATCTTACAGTTACAGAGTTTGAAATGTCTGAAACTGAATTTTGACCACAGGCCACAAGGCTAACCTGGGAAAGCCTCTTTCAAAGCCATCAAGTTTTCCCTCCATTAGCAGCTAGAGTGGAGCTAACACTCAATACAGCAGTGCTGTCTGCTCATACCAAGTTATAAACATCCCAAACTCCAAGATTGCTATTTTGGCTCCACTGTAGTCACCAGGAGTCTACAGCCTGGTAAAATGAACTTTAAAAGGCCAAGCAAAGCAAATATCTGACATCTCTCCAAAGATAATCTTTTAGAAAGAAGTAAAAAGGAGAAGGAAACCCACAGTACACTCACCAGGCGTGTATTAACAACAGGAAACAGCAATGCTAAGAGGGCCCCATTCAGCATATGCATCTGCAGCCTTAGAAAAGAGATGAGATATTATTTTCACACATGGAAATAAAATGGAATAAGAATATTCTCATGTCTTTTATGTAGTACCTCTTCAATAAAAGACAGCAAGACACTAAAAAATTATTTAGTCTTGAATTTTAATTAAGTCACTATTAAATGCAATAAAACTGGACAAAACCCTATCTTTAAATACACACTTCAAGAATTTCCTAAAGTAGGACTGCTTTCTATAATGAGCTTTGGATTCCTAGAAAGCCTGGGCTGCCCATAATCCTGTTCATGATGCAAGCTGCTAAATAGTTGGAATTCTGCTGTTCATTTGTCTTCCAGAGCTTAATATAGCATCTCTGATAAAGGGTTTTACTCCTCTTTAATGCTGTGCATGCACAGCTTCAAAGAAGCTTTAAGAATTTGAAAGAAGTCCCTTAAATAAAATAATTACATTTATCAAAATGCAACAGCAAGTCCTAAGGAAAGCATAATGCAGGAAAGTAGCATTATACTCCATAATTTGTATAGCTTTCAGCCATCTTTTTTCTGAAGTACTGTTGGATCACAGGAACAGAAAATTGGTATCAGAACTGTTTCAGTCTATTTTACATCAGACACGAACCAAAGAATAAACTGTCTCCCACCACTGTCTTTCAAACTCCTAGGAATTTAAAAGTAACTTGAGGGAGGAAAAGGTACTACAATTTTAAAACAGATTTTCAAATACAATTTATATGCTGTCAGGGTGTTAGAAAATAGATATACCCATTCTGAAAAACAACAAATATTGTGGCCTCTGCTTTACAACTGGTCTTTAGCAAAGACTTCCTGGACAGCAGACATACTTTTCATACTCTCCAAGACAGAGATGCTAATACAGAGTCTTTGTTCAGCACAATCCCTGCAGAAATAAGGAACAGCAGGGAAAAGCTGCAGGAGGACTGTCTAAGGCATTCCCCCAGCACCATTTGTGCCTAGACTAAGACAAGACAGAGCAGAGTTTAATGCCACAATGGCAGCTACAGCCAGTGCCAAGTACAGTGCCAGGAAATCCCTGACCCTCCCCTCAGCACATGGGCTGCACCCTCAGCTGCAGCCTGGGCTCTGCTGCTGCAGAAGTTAATAACAATATGCAGGCTTTTAGAAAAGAATTCACAGATCTGAGAAATACCCAACCAAGCCAGAGAGAATTTGCTTTGCCTGTTTAACTTTCTGTATGCACAATTCTGAAACCAGACCCAGACTGCCCGCACGGCTTCCAGCAAGGCCCAGTTACAATTTCTACTGAGGATGGTAAAAAGATTCAAGGCCCATGACACAAATGATGGTAGCTCATACATTAATCTGCATTAATCCACTGCTACTGAGCTAATTCCTGTTCATCAGCAAGGCCAATCCCACAACACACATGAAGCAAGGATAAGGAACCCAACAATCTCATTTAAGCCCTGACCCTTTTCAAAGAGTCATTTATCAATCCAGCCAATATGCTTTTCCAACTTGATATTTCCCTTAGTATTTTATAAATTAACTTCTAAAACACATTGTACAAGTGGACAGAAATACAATAAGGAAGAGGTAATACCTGAAGAGAATCATTGCAGTCCGACATGGGGGACAGGCAAGAAGAAAAATCTGAAACATTAGAAACAAATTTAAATTAATGGCAGTGACCTCTTTTAGAATCCATTTTCTAAATCTTTCCTACTAAGTTCTGTATGTCACAAATAATTTCTTGCCAGAAGACATGTTTTACAGCAGAGGTGGAAAAGATTTAAAGTCTTTAACAAATCAAAAGGTCTCCCATTAACCACATATAAAAAGATTTAAACAGTATGAGCAGCACTGAGAGTTCAGCTTCTGCCAGTGCCTATGAAACCAGTCAAATTCTAACCAGTTATTATTGGCATTATAAAAGGTCTCTCATGAACCAGATTACTGAAACACCAATCTTATTCTACAGCAGCTGCCTCAATCATGGTGAGGTCCTTGCTGTGCTAAATATCAGCATTTACAACATCACCATTGTCCTTTCCTTCACCAGTGCCAAAACCTCAGACAGTAACTTCATATTAACAAGTCTTGCTCTAGATATGTGGAGATTACTACATAAATATTCAGTAATAAAAATTCTTCTTTTTTGTTGCCCACTACTGCAAAGAAGAAACTCTGGTTTACTGTTCAGTATTTCAGCAAAATATGGATCTCAGTTTTTACTGCTGTTCCTAAAATAAACTCACAATACCTTATTTCACTGACAACCAACAAAACAAATTATCACTGAACTGAGTGAGAACATTTGGAGAGTATGTCTGCTTTGTGGTGTTAGATTGGACAATTCACCAAATCTGTTTCTTTCAAGCATTGCAGGGTTAGGAAGAGGCCTCCAATGGGTACTGAAATTAATCACTACCAGACCATGTACTTACAGCAATAGAGGTGTTCAAAGCTGGATCATCCTACTGAGCCCTTTCACACACAAGGGGCTTCCTGTCATTACTATACAAATCAATGTACACATTCCAAATATTTCCAGGTCAAGTTCCTAATAGACAGACAGCTGGTATGTTCCATTCAAGTCTCAACAACAGCTTAGAACACAACACACACTCAAATTGTTTTTCCCAAGTCATACAGCACTCTTAACAAAGGCAGCAATTGAATTTAATGGAATCTACCTCAAGACATTTTCTCAGTGAACACTGTTAAAATCCAATCAGTTTCTCTGAAGTCTTGCATTTAAAAAGCAAGCTGTTCCAACTCACTAGGGCAGGTTAAGGAGGAACAGAACATAACAGGTGCATGATTAGAATCACTAATGGATGTTTTCCTGTGCTAAGGGAAACAAGAAAAAAGTACATGTCAGAAAAATCTAATGAGAGCTCTGTGTATCACCTTGCATGCAAGACCAATACAGCTTCTGGGAAAAGTGTCTGACTCTTATTATGCTTCATTATTCCATTGTTGCATATTTTGGAATAAACTTTGTTTACTAACTAAAGTTCCTTGAATTGTGGACTATATTTTCCCTTCTTTGGAGATCATAAATACCTTGTACAGCTCTTCTGTGATAAGTATTTTCTCACATGTGACCTGCATGCAGAGTCAAACTTCTTAAACTCTTCATGTTGTATGTTAGCAAAAAGAGATATGATATCCAGAGACTCACCAGTTCACCTGGAGTCTTAAATTTGATTATTTTATCATTTCCTTAAATTCAGAAATATGACAGGAGATATATGTAACTGTTGTAGCATGGTTAACACTTCCATGGAACAAATTCTGCTCTTCCAAGGGAGAATTCAATTTCTTTTTATCTTATCTCCTACATCTTAAAAAAAACCCAAAAAAACCCAAAAAAACCATAACACCCACCAAACAATCCCCCCCCCAACCCTATAAATTGATCTTTTTCTCTGTATGCACAAAATAAACAAGCTATAAATATGTCTCAATGACATTAGACCCTGCAGAGTACTCCAACTACTACATGGCAGAGCAGAAGCTACAATCTGAGTCTGAGTACTGCCTGAGTCCCAGCACTGAGCACTAAAACAGCTCACACTTAAAAAAGATGGCAGTGTTACAAGGACTGAGATGGACATACCAATTTAAATCACTTCCATGGACAGGCAAAGAAGAGAACACGATTCACAGCTGATTATTTTTATTTCAACTCTACTAAAAGAAACAGTTTCAGACCCTGATGAGGGGAAAATCAAATATTTAACTCTTTTAAGCATGAAAATCCCTCTTTTAAAGGGATCTTGAAGAAAATAAGCCTGACTTCCATTTTTCATGACAGCAGAGAAATGATAACCAGAATTTTTATGCTAAAAGTTTTTAGGATCATGGAAGAGATTTTCAAATGCTTCAGCTTTAGCAGCTTAATATCAGTACTTTCTCTCTACATATGTAGATACTTGTCAGGATAAACAAATCTCAGCTTCTTAAAGGAAAATTTTAAAGGACACACTTGCATCTGATTTTTCAAACATGTGTACCAAAAGTGTCATTACTCAGCTCAGAGTATCAGCAGTCTTAAATACACAGTTGACAGCAGACAAGCTCATAAGCTCCAACACAAGTGTTCCCACACTGATCCCATAATCCTACTGCTTTGCAGTGCCATATTGGAAATCCAATCCTTTGCCTTGCAGGAGGGAACAGTTCTGTTCCACAACCCAAAGAATGCTGAGTTAAACCAGCAGCAGGGCTGTGCAGAGCTCCCAGCCCCTGTTCTCCTGCAGAACTCCTGAGTTTTGAGGCACTGGGGCTCAGAGTCCCCAGCCCAGCTGGCACTGCAGAGCTCCAGCAGACACAGGCACTGTGTATGGTAAAGCACAACAAAGTTCTCCTTGCCCAAGGCAGGGTAACTCAACTTTCAATTTAGAAGAAACACTAGGAAACAAGTTCAGTGTCCCCCCTTCTTCTGTCACCTGTTATATTTTCACCTTACAAATGAAAGAAGAACAAAAGAATTAGCCCAAAATAGACAAAATTAGCTATTTTGGATGGGAAAATTAACTACAAAATATACATTGTCTGATAGACTGGATTATGAGCATAGTTCTGACCACTGCCTTTCCCTTCCCACGCTCAAAAAAAAAAGTTACAAAACATCTTCTACACAGAGATTAATATCTGTAAAAGACTGAGGCTAATGGGTGCAAGAGAAGGAGGAAGTACAAAATCATGTGTGGCACTCAGGAAATGCAAAGATAAGAGGCCAGTACTGAGAGACAGGATGGCTGAAGAAGCAGAAGCACAGGACCAGAAGATTCTACAACTGTTCTCAGGCAGTAAATTGCAGAGAATCTCCTAACTCTGGTTAATCCACAGTTCACTTCAACCTTGAGGACCCAGACGAAAATGAAAAATCAGAAATTCTGTCACTATACTTTGCAATACCATAATTACAATTATCCATCCCCTTGGGAAATGTTTCTAGCATGAAGAACTGCATGGCCAGCCCTGCCTTGCAGTCCAGAGACAAAGGTCACACCCCCACACACGATGGATCAGCAGGGCTGGAGATCTGGGGACTCCAGTGTCCAGCACAGCACCAATTAACTATTCCTTCCTTGAGACAGGAGCTTAGGGACACTGAGCTCATGGCTGGTCTGAACTAGTGCAGGACTGGGCTGCAAATCATTTCTGGCATGTCAAGCATTATATGTGCTGCAATTAATCTCATTAATTTGGAGATATTAGTGGGCTTGATTCTTTTTTTTTTTCCTAGATTAATATAGAAATAGTTTTATTCAAGAAACCTATTTTACAGTTTGCATATCTGGGCTTCAGCAATAGGTAAGTGCACCAGTTTAAAGAAGTGGGGAAAAGTGTACAAACCATCAAACATAGCTGGTTTCCTATTTTACATTTAACTGTACTGCTAGATTGAAAAATAATAAACAAAAAAATAAAGATAATATCTGTGGTTTGACAAGTTCAGACTGCTAAATCTGGAAAAAAAAAGAAAAGATGTCGTGAACGGCGGGAGAAATGCAGCACACGATATGCGTGAATGGCAAATCTTGAAGTTTATTGAAAACTCACACATATTTATATTGGTGTTAATGAAGCTTATACATATTGCAAAAGCTGAGCTCATTATTGGTTAAAGCACACTTGGATCAACCACACCTACTTCTATCTTCTAATAATTATTTTGCTTCTATGTTTGCATTCTTCTAGCTTCTCTACCTAAGATATCTACATTTTCTGGAAAGCGATTTTCTCCCCCGTCTTCCCGTTTCAGCGAAGGTCACTATGACCTTTGTTAGTGATTAAACATTAGTTTCACAATCTCCAGCTTGTTTCCCCTATCTTTATCCATCAGTATCACATCGAAATGTCCTTTCTCAGCTAACCAATTATCCAAAAAGCTCTCTACAAAAAGATACCAAAAGATGTTGCATTCTAATTGCTAAATAGGAGCACGTTGAATGTATTTAATATTTTAGCATAAAAACCACTGCTGCCTCAGTGCAGCTGTCAGACAGGTTCAGGGATTAATGTGTCCTGTGTTAATCTAGTGCTAAGGACACTCATGATTCAAAGCAAGACTGCTGACAGAGCATTAAGAAATACTACAATAAAAGTAGTATGTGTGTTACATACAGCAGACTGTGGAACACAATGAGCTGCTGGTTCCATCCCCAGCTTCCCAGTTCTAGCCAGGGATGGAAGATGTGTAGCAAGCTGAACAGCTTCCACCCTCTACAATCTAATATATTGTACATGACCCATGTCCATTGGGACATTCTAGGTTAGTCTCCCCTTCCACAGGCTTACTTAGTTTAATCAGCAAACCCATATTCACCTTCTTCCCTTTTAGAGGCTCAGGTGAAAGATTTCTAGACTTCTTATAGTCATGATTAATTATTAACACATGACTCAGGTCCTTCTATGAGTGCATTAGTGTGGTGGTTTGACAGGAAATATGTTTTCTGGGATGCTGTGGTCAGGCCAATGGGTGCTCAGATTTATAAGGTGTCCAGTGTGGTTACTGCTGCTGTTTTCATTCACCACTCCACTGAAATCCTACTAGATGTAGGATTTCTTTTTTGCCTGTTTCAGGCAGCTACTCCTGAAACATCAGTTTAAGTTACCAACAAACAACCTACATGGTG